ATCGTAAAAACAGATCCCTCACTGTTGCCGGTTATAATTTGGAAAAAAATACAATCTCCTCACCGGGTTTGCGTATAATATTTACAGATATCCGAGTTCGGTCAAAGTGGGTTTGTAATTACGCAACCAGTCATTGTGTTTCATTGACTAAGTTTACATTCAGGACACTGACATGTGGTAAATTTCTTGAAGCATTAGGCGTGCCCTTCTACCATTCTCGCATCATCTCTTCCTAGTTCGTCATAAGCACCGTATACAGCAAATATAAGGTTCAACCCCTTCCCAAATTATACTATTAATTATTAAAATTATAATATTTATAATTCATGTATTAAAAATATTTTAACAATCCCCCCCCCCCGAAAATTTATTCTGAAGACGTAGTTAATCGCATGGAAATTATTTTGATTGTTTTATTATTGCGAACTCAAATAGTTATAAATTTATAATAGTTCATATGCCGATAATTCTTATAATTTCTAATTAGTATTATTTAATTAAATAAAATGGAAGGTACGCTAATTCACGCTACGGCATATACGTGTTGCTCAGCGGTGATATATTGAAAAATGAAAAAAATCTTAAAAACGGACAACGACGTAAACAATAGACGGAGTGATAAGACAGTCCATGCCAATTTTTCTTAGCCAAGGTGCGACAATCTTCGAGAACAAACGCGCCTCTTATCTGTACTGCGCCGACCTATTTGGGCCGAACTTATATTGGGTAAAGTCTGTAAATGCACTACCAGTCTGCTGTACCGAATGTTTTGTAAGAGTGATTTTACGTGAATAATGTGTAAAAATATATTATTTTTATTTTTAGGTCGGGACCTGCGCCAGATAGGGAATGTATCGTCCCACCGAGTATAAGGACTTTCCCAAAATTCTACGAAATAATTCAAATTGATATAAATCCAATTAAAAACAAGTATATAATTTTGTACAGCCCACCGAGATTTTCTAGGTAGCTCGTCGGTTTAACACGGGTTGTTGGTGATACATTTGTATTTTGCATGGCGACGAGTTTGGGAATTTTTAAAAAGGTAGAACACGATTCCGTACGTTCATTGTTCGATATTATATTTTTTTTCGACGGTTTTTCTATTGTATTCGAAGGCGACGTTGCTGTTAGGAATACGATTCCGCACGTTTTTTTTCTCTTGGAACACGATTCCATGATTTCTATATTTATTTACCACTTTACCACGATATTTCAAGTTCAATTAATTAATTAAAAACAAGATCTGATTCCACAAGATCAAGATTGGATTTTTTGATAAAGATAACAATACACATAAACAAGAAATTCAGAATGTGTATCCGGTGAACATTTTCCCTTAAAATGGTAACCGATAACGAATAGAGAGATTTTGTAAGGCAACCGGGTTCACTGTTGACAGTAAACGTTCACATTTTACGTAACCATATCACTAGTATGCTGATACCGTTCACTCTACCACTACAATAACTTGTAATAATGTTACCCCTACATTAATTACAATATTCGAATTTAAAGCAGGAATAATAGTATTTATTTTTATCATAAAAATTTTTATTATACATTTTTATCATAATTTAACTAGATTTAATAGTTGATACACAATTTTCCACTGGTTTTAATATTCTAAATAATAAACAAGTATAATCATCCATATCTACGAAAGAACTGGCAATAACAACGGATGATATTGAAATTCCTACTAAACGATTTAAGTAGCGGGTCAATGGTCAAAGAAAAGCAACCGTTATGGGTGAAAGAATTTTTATCTACTAAAGAAATACAAAACAGTGTAATATTAAAAAGCTTTAATTAGAGGATATGCTCCATCACCGATCACATGGGTACCGTCTGGTATAATTGTTCAGAGATTATCTAAAAGTTTTTGCCCAACATCATTTCTTCTGTAAACTCATGCATCGGGAACATTGATTTCTACAAAATCAAAAATTTTACTTTGATGCTACTTTTTTGTGTTCAGAATAAGTAAGTCATCAGAATCATCAACAATACTATTAATAACTACAAATATAATCAATATTAAATAGGGACTATTTTTTAAATATGTACATTGTACATTCTAGAAAAATGTGCAGGATAGCTGCAGATACAATTAATTCGGCAGTCTTATTATTTTTAAGAATATATCCGTTGAATAAAAGTTTCACTTTATTTTTATTCGTTTTAATTGCTATTTGAATAATAATTAATATTCGGTTTAAAAAAAAAATGACAAGGAATTTTTAATTTGATAAGAACAAAAATAAAGTAGGGGACATGGATTGTGGTGGGAGACCACCGGTAACAAAATCCGAATTTCTTCTATCAGTCACCAGTCACCACTGTTGGGTAAACTCACCGTTTATACATTCCGAATTTCTTATAAATTACGTGAGTCTATATGATTTGATTAATATTTGTTATAATGGTAACGTTATAACAATAATCTCATAATGACGAGATTATTTTGATAAATAACTACCTACGATAACTGTTGGTAAATACATAGATATTAAAGAATATATGTAATATCTATGGGTAAATATACCAGTATAGTCAGTCTAGTCAAAACTGTTAAAACGCCGCGGGTGGATACAGTTCATTAAGTTGTATTAATTTCTAGCACTATTCTATAATTTATATTTTTACGGTATATTTTTTTGTAATAAACGTAGACCCACACTGTTTATGATAATTTTGATAACGTTGAACCCAATTCCTATTGTATTTCAATGAACAATAGAGCGTACGGAATCGTGTTCAAAAAAAAAAAAACGGAATCGTATTCCCCCCTTTTAAAAAACCGCCAAAAACGAACAATATTCCCATAGATCATATTTATATTCTATGATATTGTTGACCACGTTATCGATGATGAGATATTATAATTTTTTATTTTTATTGTTCGTTCATTATCTTATCAGCAGTCTATCTTTTGCATAAAATAGTCTTTTTGGTTTGTTTTTTTTGTTTTGTTATTGTTACAAGATTTATTTGCGGCCACCTGACGACAGATAACCTACCGTGCGTGTTGCTGAAGCAAGGAGTCTAAATAATTCGGTATACCTATAAACTATAAAATAAAAATCTAACGAAAATCGGGTGAAAAAAAAACTCGATAATGACGCGTATATTTTTATTCCACTCGACTTGGCATTCGGGCTAAACGGTGAATTATAATAATTAAAACGCTCGTGTAAGAAAAAATACCCGCAGTATCTGCAGTAGATGTAAAATTGTAAAAATCGGACCCGTGTTGACAGGATTACGCAATCACAACTGTTTATAATGTCGAGTTTTCAAATCTTATTGAAACTGCGAAAGAAAAACTATTGACTGGCCAGAAACGCACGTTACATTTTATTGCGACGTGTGTTTAGAAAAAAAAAACCTACGATTGTTTATATATACCTATATGCCATTAAGTACTACATTTTTCGATTGTTGTAACATTGTGACCATCGATACCTCAACATTTTTTATTTTACGTTTATATTCCGTTGTAATCATTTGCTTACGTATACCTAACCGTTTCGTTTCAGCTAAATAAATCAGAATTTCTCAAAGCTTTTCTGGATTTTGCGTCGTATCCGGTCACCCAGTGTACAAGACTCGCGCAAAATGAGCACCATTGATGTTCAGTCGCTATTGGAGCAGCTTAACGGTACACAAATTTATAATATGATTTGTGAACTCGTGTTCAACGCTCCCCCCTCTCAACTTAACGTTCCTATCTATATGATATGAGTATAAAAATGAGCTTCTAGAGAAAAGTAATGAGATTTATAGAGAATAATAATGACGCCAAGCCGTTCAAATTTTGATATTAATATGTTCGTGAACAAACGATATGCTGGGGAGCCCTCGTCTAAGTGTTTCGGAGGGGCCCGGGACATTAAGCAAAATTTTATCGGTATAATTTTGTTATTTATTTAAATATATCACGGTACAGTTTAATTTATATTTACGATGTGGGTTTTCACTAGAAACGCGAAATTATAAGACGTGTGTAGGTACTCGAAATTCTTATGGACTATTCAGGAGCTGCGGATCGTTTAATCCACGAAAATCATATCCCGCTGGCGTTAAATTTCCCGCGACGGCGGATCGTTAATTTTCACACACATTTAACCAGTGGTTTCCAATCCTTGTAGTTCACGTCCGTCAATACATTTTTCCTCCAAAAAAATATGGAAGGGAAATGTTCGTGACGATTTTATACTTTATGTAAACACTGCACTACACTTTTTGGCACCAGTGATGAACGCAAGGGGCACATTAAGAGTTATACCCTCCATTGAATTAAAAATACAACAACTATGATTATTTAATAATTTTATCTTTAATATTTGAGCTAAATTGAAAGAAAAAAATGCTTTATTTATTGATTAAAAATTATTGGCTTTTTGGATGTGGCTTATATATTCTTATTGTCCGGTTAGGTACAACAGAAGACGATTCTGCGATTTATTAATAAATCATTATATTTATAGCCCCCCCCCCTACATTGAAAGTTCCTGAGCACAGATCCATCTTAAGGTTATGTGAGGTCCCAGCACCCAACATATTTTAGTGGCCTTTATATAACCTTTTAATAATCATTTATCAGTAAAAAATCAATTTTTGTTTGAATATCGGTTATTTTATTGTTTATTATAATTTCAAACTTTAAGGTCACAAAAATAATTTCCTTTTAATTAAATGTGAACATGTTATTTATGTATAAATTAATATTTTTTATAGTTAAAAATAAATGTAATTCATAAAATAAAAACTAAAATAGTTGTAAAAAAATATGTACTCATTTGTAGTATTTCATAGGTTCATACCCTCTCAGAATCTAAAATTAAAAAGACTATTAGTCGAGCAACGTGTTTTTTTTTTTATTGTAATACATAAACGACAATCAAAATAATAATACGAGTATATTATTTACGTAAACGAAATTTATTTTCGCATCGGTACTTTGAACGCGTGTGTCTGCGCAGAGCAAAAGCGAGATGATATTACGTTTATGTGCTCATGGATCCCTAGTACGCGGACCGTATACTTTCAATGGGTTACGTGGTTTTACCGTCCACACAGATCTGATTGGAATTCCGATTTATTTTGTTTTTTTAAATTAAACTTGCAGCTTACTTGGACAAAGAAATTGAGAATATCGAATTCTTTAGCCGTGGAAAATTTTTCGTAAAGACTACTTCTGGCGACGACCACTACCGCGAAAGCGACAACACCATGAGCTGTGACAGTCAGGTGAGTATATTCTATTACGACGAACCGTCGTATTAAACGAATTTAATAACTTTATATTTAAAAACAAAATGTTAAATTTATCTTTTGGCAGTCGAAAAAACCGAGACAACACGATTTCTTGTAGAATTAAAATGGGAGTGGGAGGAGGAAATTTCAGACTTCACGCGGTCCTCGCGTAGGAAAAAAAATTTAAAAATATTGCCTGCTAACATTTTTGTTTCGTTTTGTATTCCATTATATGGAATTTCTATTTTTCGCTATCGTTTTATCGATCGCCCGGAAACATCAAGTAACGTCCCGCCGAATATCTGTACTATTAACCTATTCGTACTAGGATACCATGCGCTGTTCGTCAACTTTGTGTTACTTTCACTTCGACCGCCTCGTATCGGTTACGAATCCAAGGGAATCGTGTTTTAATTTTATATTAATATTTTAAATTAATAAAAAAACAAATACTTCTTAAACTGCGTCGCTTAGGAATCTCAATATATTACTATATATTTAGTCATTTCAGATGGGGTAGGGGGGGATAGATCGTCAATAATTAAAAGAACAAATAATTGTATGTATGAAATAGATTTTAGTTAGATAGTATTTAGTGTATTATAAATAATATTCGTTTTGGAACAATAGAAATTAGGTCCTATATTGTGAAGCGACCGAGAAAAAGTTAAATTTAGTTTCTCCTTTTCCACCCTTATCTTAAATCATATTTAACCACATTAACCATATCAATACATGATTGATAGATCAATAACATTTAATTTAATTTTTGTTCTAAAAATACAAATAAATGTTGAAAAAAAAAATTTCACCCAACTTTGAGAGTACCGGAATTATAATTTGAACGCACACGATGACTTCATGTTTATCTGTTACTCGTGTAGTAGGTACCTCCTTATTGTATTTTTTACGTTCACGATGACCACATAATTTATTATATATACACGAGTACGTAACTATATATTCGTAAAAAATATATTCCTATCTTATTATATTCTGCAACATCATATTGTAATAAACTATTTTAGAAATTATAGTGCATTAGTGCTCGCGCTGAAACTATAACCTTTAATACAATCTACGGTTGTTTTATACCGACAATACGTATGCGGGTTACAAATGAAAAACTATTAGTGCACTTAAAAAAAAAAAAAAAAAAAAAAAGTTAGGTTATAATAATAATTTTGTGAATTAAATAATAATAATATACGAACGAGAAACTATGATTAATTTGTATGGTATAAAATGATTAACACTTAAATTAGGTACTTATACTAATAAGAAAACCTCTACATATATTATGTATTTATAATGCACGCTCATTAGGAATGACGCAAACAGAAAACAATTTTGGAAAAGGGGGGAATACTGTATTTAAAAACCCACAGTCGATTTTCCATAAAAATTAACATTATGAGGATTGAAAATATCTTTTTACTATACAGAGAGATAATTTTATTATAAACCTTGGAGGATGATTTTAAGTGAATTTGATTTTTGTTTTTTTTAATTATTGTGGAATCATCAAAGCTATATATTTAAACTATTTTTAATTTTCACGCCTCAAATCAGTATATATTTTTAATTTTCAATTATAAAACCCCTTTTTGAACACTGCAGATTTCTAAAAATATAGACATATATGTATAACACTAATATCAAATTTACTATTTATATGTGATATAAATGGTTTAAATCTTAGACCGAAGGAGTAGGCAAAATTAATAAATTTCATATCCATATTTAGATGATAAATGGTAAATCAAATATAAATGTTAAACATGTTAACATGCTTAGAAACATATTCTCTCTACTTGTTTGAAAATCAAAAGTGTATGCTTATGTAAGGTATATGTAATTTTAAAATAAAGCTCAAACGAAACCACAACGGTTGAAATAACAGAAATCAAATTTACTTAATGTTCTTCGAGATATAAATTGCTTGTTCATGTTAAATGATCACCCTGTATAAGTATGTTTTTACATTGCCAGTTAACAGCAGTATAGCAATGTTTCTAAAAAGAAATTTCACTGGGGAGGTACTTTAAAGAGGCCGTTTTTCCATTTTTCTCGGAGTTTTCTCAGCAAATGTGAAAAACTGGGAAAAAACATCGGAAAACCGGAGAAATCGGTAACATTAAACAAATATATAGAGCCTATTAAATTATTTTACTATAATATGGCGTATATATTATTGACAAAGCATCACTATCAACTGAATTCCACTCAAAATCGTTTTTCGCTGATTACAGATATACATTAAATTCCCTTTTGTATTCTTTCCTTCCAACTTCCTATCTACACCAGTGGCTTCACCCGTCCCCATTATCTTACCTTTTTTATGTTTTTTTCACCATTTATTAAAAATTCATCAGTACCTATCTACCAAACGGATACTGTGTATTTTATATGGAACCAACATATTTTTGTTCTCTATCGTTTATTATAATTGCACGTAATATTATTATTATACAAATGTGCATTTACTCGTTTATTAGAGTTTATTACGATTTTCTTTGTTCTTCGTGTGATAGTTGCTCATGATGTCATGCTTAATGACATTATGATTACATCGTGTCTATTCACGTATTTTTCGATTATGGTAGCTTAGTGACGATATTATTCAACAACCTTTTATCAGCAAGTTAGTAAATCAACTCTTTGTATTGTGTTTTGTTTGTTTTATACCGTGTAAGAGAGGAATAACGATTCTTGATTTGTTTTTTAGTACTGATTTCTCGCGGGTATAATAATATAATATAAAACACAAGCGAAAATTGTCCGAACTAATTATTATTATTATTCAGGAACGGTGTTAAACTATCGACCTGCCACCTTTATATACAGGTGATATCCTGGAGGGCTTCCCAGAATTTCGGAGGAGGTGCTATAAATTACCTATAGAAATATTTTGTATCCGGCGAGAGAATTATGCGGTTTTTTTTTTTTAATTGCGTAATATGTTAATATATATATATATGTTTATTTTTTAAAGTGTATTCTTAGTTTTTAAATTATAACTATAAAATATCTAGGTCTAGTTATTGATCACCGCTAGACCACCTAACATGGTTATACAATATGAGAACAAAAAACTCTTAAAACGCGCGTCTCTTTAATCTCTAATAACAATTTCACGAAACTAAACACAAAACTCCTCATAAAAATCTTTAATCAGGCCAATGTAGACGTATGGTCTTCAGTCATAGGACAATGTTAAAAATCAGATATCAACAAAATCCAAACCTTTTAAAATATTGTCTTTCGCAAAATCACTAACGCCACTCTATATGTTGCTAATCAAACTCTCCACATAGACCTAAAGATTAGAACTGTACATGAAGAAACAATAACATTTTTTAAGAAATTTTACTCTAAACTCCCTTCTCATTTCAGTCCCCTCATATTTAATCAAGCAACACCCAAAATTCCTATTAACCCACAGATATGGCTCAAAAGAAATTGAAGCCGTGACCTTCTAAAATAGTAATTAAAATATAAATAGCAAAAATATGTAGTGCCACCACTGGGTGGTTTTCTTCCATCAAAAACCTCACCTTCTGAATATGTATTTATCACACATGCTTATTGTGCCAAAAAAGTACAGATTGTATATTTCATAAATAATACAATTATTGTAATTATTAATACAATACTATAATTACAGTACTAATAAAAGAAAATCAAACTGCGTCGTGATGAATAAAATATATCACCGTAGTGCACCTAATATAATATACAACTTAAAAGTATAAGTTTACTTATTTTATTTAAGTTTACCGTATTTTAATACGACCTACTTTATAATATGTAAAAATCGTTATAATAGTGCAGTTCAATAAGGTAACTAACCGTAAATCACACTATATTACATTCAATATTATTATAAATCCGAGAGTTAGTCTACTATTGATATCGTTCCGTTTTGAAATTACGAAATTACGCTCATGTTGAAGTGCATTTACCAGAGACATAACTTTACTGACGAAGCCGAACGGACATGAAGCCAGGATTTTTTCACGGGACGAGGTGTCTGTAAAATAAGTTTATTTGTTATATATAAGCCCACTAACACAATTATATGAAACAATATTGTTGTTTTCGAATTAAAAAATTTGTTCAGGTTTTGAAAAATATAATATATCTCAAGGGGCCACTGTAACAGGCACGGATCCAGAGCAAATATCTGGGGGGGAAGGTCCAAAATTTTTTTTACAACACAAATACAGTTAAAATATAATATAACACATTATATATATTATTTTCTTATAAAATTCTCATACAAAAATCGGAGAAATAATATGTGTGGAGGGAGGCTAGGCCCCTAGACCCCCTGGATCCCCCCTGCGCTGTAACAATCGGATGTGCAAAGGTGTGAGATGCGTACGTCCAATGATGTGTGCGAGGGAGGGATGCATGTATATGCCCTCTCCTCCCATTGGCCTAAAATTTTAGCAACTATATAAGCGTGTCTAGACCTTCATAACTGGGGACCAATATTTCTTATCTTTTAAATTGTCTCTTGATTGAACCTTAACCACTATACCATTAACCATTTTATCCAACATTGATGTTTAATAATAAACTCGTTTACAAAGTTACAATTTAGTTACCAAACTAATAATAATCTAGGATAATTTCTGGAATCTAGTTCACTAGAATCAATAAAATATATCACAGATCCCGCCGAGGAGGCAGTTTATGAGCAATTCTGGATGTTTATTTAGTAATTTAATCTTGAAATGTAAACATTCCAGCCAATATTTTCTTTTTCAAAATTTCAAGTATTAGTTTTTAAATTTGGCGCAATGGATAGTTTTGAATTAGTTACTCTTTAATATTTATTATCAAATTTATTAGGTACTGTAGACATTAGTGCCTTAGAATTCATATTGTCGCAATTATCAAAAATAGTATAGTCGAAATATTATCGTATTCTACGCCAGTTATTTGCAAAGGGTGTCCCCTTAACCAGCAGAATTTTGTACAGTTCTTTTTTTTTGTTTCGTATTCCAGATATCGTCTCTTCTCCAGACAACGCCGTTTACTTTATCGCCGATTAATAAGGACGATTATTCTCCGTGGAACAGCGGCGACGCTACACCGTTCAACAGCAACGGTGTAACGTACTCGCCGTCCACTCTGTACACCGCCACTGATACTGCAGTCACCTCGACCAACGGACTGAACCGTTTGTTTCGGCCAGGTACGGGTGCCAACAACGGTGATTTCCAGTACGCCTCCGACTGCGAACTGTTTCTGTGCCGCGGCAACGATTGTGGCGGATCGGTTCTGTCCGAACCATTGATCCGCAAGAAAAAAAGTCAAGCCATAGACATCGTCGATCCACGGACCGGCGAAAAGATCTTGTTGTGAACCGACATGATGTATGGAAACTCGCGTATGGTGCATATTGTATTATGGCTCCTACAGCTGTGACGATACTATTGATATCTTATAATATTGTAATATTAACGTTTCTCGTGTTCGTAAATTGTTCGACATTTTGTCATATATCTGTAAAAAAAAAAAACGAAAATTGTTTTGTACCTAATAATATACGTTTGTTATCATCACGGCGAACGAGTATACACGATTCCGTCACGTGTGCTGCGTCGCGACACTGTTGTAATTATTTATCAAACGGCGCACTGCCGTGAAAACATATTCGAAAACAGTTATTTTTTAACAATATTGTTTGGATTATTTTAATTTGATATGATTTAATGAATTAGTCAGTTCTTGATCAACAGCTACAAGTTTTCTTTAGCTTCTTCTTGACTGCATTTTTTTTTCTCTTTCTTCTGTCCCTTAAGAATTAGCCACTAGTATTGTAGTTGTCAACTGAGATTTAATCAGTGGAATGGTAATTTTATTTTGCGATTGTGAAATTTTAATCAATTCTGAAAAAATAAACTAGTTAGCTCAAAATTTGGATGCAAGTGTTAGCAGTAAAATAGAGAAATATTTTCTTTTATATAAATATCAACAGGGACGTTTCCAACCCTTGATTATAGGGTAGGGGGGCGAAATAATTAAATTTAATATTGAATGAATTGATAAGAAAAAAGTAGGACATAAAGATAGGTGGACCACTGTTGTAGATGAGAAGTTGGCAGAAGTTGGGAAGGTAGAAAATAAAGAAAAATTTAATGTATATCTGTAAGCAAAAATTATTCATTGTAGAGGTTGGTTAATAGTATTGCTTTTTCAACAATATATATTTTTATTTTGAATTACACGGGCAATTGTCTTTTAGTATACATATATCATTTGTACAACATTTAATAATACATGTTATTTGGACAATATAATATAACATTAAGTTATCAAATAAAATATAAATTAACTTAATTAGTTACCAACAGTAGGGTCAACGTTGGCACTCGCCATTAGGCGCCTAATAAGTTCGTTTTTAAATAATTTGTGGAGAAATGAGGGATAAATAAGGGAATGGTGGTTCTTGTTGCCCGCTGGAGTACTTTAAAACATAAAAGTGACAATATACCAGGTGAGTCAATATTGCCATATATAATAAACCATTTATAAATTTAATTCCAGTAGTGCACCTACGCTCATCTAGGGAGAACAGGCCAACCAAGTTAGTTGCCGAGGCATAATCGTGTAAAGGACAATGTATTTCGAGTATGAAGCTGACAAAACTCAAAAACTTTCACTGAACTCGCTTAAGGATCCCATACTATACACCCATATTCAAGAATAGGTCTCACAACAGAACAGAATATTACTTTTAGAGACACTCCTTGCTTAAAATCTTTAGCCATTTGTATAATAAAACCAAGTGCTTTGAATGCTTTATAGCACACAAAATCTATATGCAACTTGGAATTAAGATTATAACTAAATTTAAAGCCAAGATCCATAATGGAATTCAATTCACACAAAATATTTGTTTTATTAATTCTACAGTTGAAATCAATTGGTAGTTGTATCTTATGATACGTAAGACCTTAAATTTGGATAGATTAAGTGATGTCAGCTTGCAATTTTCAAGCATTTCTGTTTTGTCTAACAATTTTATCCTCAGAGTACCTACCCAATAAAAATTACTCACAAAATTAACATGTCTATAAATAACTTAAATATGGCTCAAATGTTTTTACAGTTTTACCACATAAAAATAGGCAAATATGTTTTTTTGACCAAATTTTAAGTCTCTATGAATATTTTTAACTGAATTACAACAAATTACACAATTAAAAATAATAAAAAGCATTGTTTTTGTAAATTTCCTGTTTTTCTTAAGTTTTCTCTAGGGTTTTTTCCCAACTATTATGAAAACTGCTCAGAAAATCAAAAAATGACTTCCTAAAGTACCATCTATATGATATTTCCTTTCAGAAATGGTGTCACACATACATATTAAGGGCAAGATTTCTGGTAGACATTTTTGTTACAGTATATATATATATAAAAAAAAAAAAGTAAATGTCTTAGTAAAATCAATACATTTTTTCGTTACACTTAGAATCTAAAAAATTACGTTGAATAATATATTGATTATATCTATTATATCCACTTCTGGACCATAGACTATGCCAAATGCTAATGTAAGTTCACTTATCTTGGGGGGGAGGGGTTGATCGCTTCCTCTCAGAGATGTGCCTGTGTATCCAAGTACCTTTAAAAGTTTAAAAGACATTTATTATACCTATACATTTATGGGCCAGCACCTAATTAAGTCATACTTCAATATTATTTTATAGTCTTGTTGAAAATCTTTTTAATTTGTTGGTTTTCATTCTTATTACAAAAATGATTAGCTGTATTGATTTATATTTATTTTTTGGTTTAATCAGCACCAATATGTTTTAAACAGTGCACGAATATTATCTGTTAATTAAATTTACTGATTTAAGATTAAACAATTAAAAAATAGATTATTTGGATAAATTAGGAACCAATACAATACAACTAACAAATCTATAATTGAATTATACAAATAATTTATAATTAAAACACAATATTATAATTTTGTATGAACATAGTTTTTTATTTACACAATGTTTTTATAAAACCTTAACATACATTTCATATAAGAATAATAGGCTTTAATTTATTGTTACAATATTTTAAACATCATTTTTAGAGCGATTAATATCAAAACATTTTTAATTTATTATTAATAATCATAGTCTGTTTCAATATAAATTTAACTTATCATTACAGTAGTGCAGTATATAATCAATGGTTATAGTAACAACAATGAATAACATATTATATTATATTTTTATTTTAGAAAACTATATGCATATAAAAATAATAGGTACCTAAATATACTAAATTAATATTTATATTATTAATAATAATAATATAGTATCATTTTGTCTAAAAGGCACAATATAAAAATCTTTACGTATATAAAAATAAATTATTGCTTTAGTTTAAAATACATGATAACTGCGATTAAACTCACCAACATATTTTTAATAAAAAAAAATGTATATTATATATTGAGCTATTCTCTTGTCCTAAATAATGTCATCAACTGAATAAAGTATTCAGAGGAAGCAAGCTATATATCTTTTGTTTTGTTAAATAAATAAATATAAAAAAAAAAGTATGCACAAAATAGCATATCTACAGTCTATAACATAATATTAATATGTGTCAAAAACAGTAAATTAAATATACACAAAAAATAATAATGGAAAAAGGTGTACATTTTTTTGCTGTCATTGTTACTCTTTTGATGTAAATTAAATAAAATGTCAAACTTAGGAATCCAAAATGAAATGAAATTGAAAATCAACCAAAATAAATGTTTTTTTAAGTAATATTGATCAGATAAATTGGAGCCATAATTTTATTTTTTGCAAAATGCGTAAAATTAGACTCTATTAATACAATATAATATAATAAATTATATAATATTGTTCAACATAAATGTCATTGTTTTCAGTAAAGCAAAATAAACTGGTCCAAAAATAAACTAAAACCCGATGAACACAGTTTGCATGAAATGTATATAAATAATAATAATAAAAAAGAAATTAATTATTATGAAAATTTGCATAGGGAATAATAAACGCTGACTATGAACGTATACTGTAGATACTGTGGAGAGTTTCATTTATGGTTGATGATTTCACTGAGGCTGATGTATGTACCTAGAATCAGAGCTAATATGCCAATGATGATAAGCAAGATGTCCTTCCAGAATACATAGTTGAAGCGGCCGAAATTTCGTTCAGGCCACAAGACACAAATCTCGATAAGTGCGGGGAACGCTATTCCCAACACAGATAAGCATAAGGCACCAAACAATGATATGAACAGCTCTAGCAGTGGTATAGACACAGCCAACAAAACTGTAAAATCAAAAACATATATATTATAATACAATTTTCAACAATTATCAATTGGTATTCAGAGATTTTGATTTTTGTTTGGTTTATATTAGGATTCCATATGTCCTGTATTATACAGGATCGTACCATATTTGAACGAAGCATCTTGGTATACCTACTTAATATTCTAAACACTTTTGAATCAATTATCTTATAGGTTCTCTATTTCTTAATTTTTATGATTTCAATTTGTTTAATCAATTTAAATCAGAAAAATATCTAGACAAGTAAAATAATTTTATTTGCAAAATATATTTAAATTAATTAAATGGAGATTAATTACTAATAATTAGTTTTATTTAGATTTTTTTTTTACAATTTATTACTACATCAGCAAGTATTTATTACACCTAGCAGCAGCCATTAACAGCCACCGCGTGATTTTAAAATTAGGTAAAATATATTACTGTAGACAAATTACAAAGTTTATTTTTTGCTTTTCAAGTGTTTTAGTCTCTTAGAAACTTCAACTAAACTTTTCCAGTCTTCCTGGTCTTCTGAGTCTTTTAATTCTTGGATTAATCAAGCGCTCTAATGTCTTTCATTAATCTGTCTGTTAGCTATCACAGCCGGGACCTTCCACATGACCGTTTTCTGGATAAGGTCCTAATCACCACATTTTTTTTATAATTTTTCTGTGTACTCGCCACATATGTCTGGTCTATTTAAGTCTTATGGGATATAACATATTTTTGATACTTGGTTTATTATACAATTTTTCCCATTCTGTATTATTCTCCCTTTTGTACTCTCCTGTACTTGAGTTTCTTATTAGTCTCTACATTTTTCTTAATACTTTATTTTCAAAATATGGCAACTGATTTTTATCACTCTTAATTGTTGACCGTGTCATATTTTTGAACTTGCATTTGCAAAAAGAAAATGTTTAAAAACGAATGAAAATTTGACTGAAATCAAATTCATTGTACATTTTTTGATGGTAATTTGTAGCGTTTATTGATAAAATGTGTAATCAAATTTTGGATTAATGGATTTGGTAACAATTGTGTTTGACATTTGTGAAGAAAATAAATAGAAAGGTTTGTGTCAGAAATTGGCAAAAATAAATATCATAATATATACATGTATATAATATTGTCATTTGGCACACTAATAGTTACTTCAAAGCAAGCATTTTGCTATTATTAAAAGATTAAAGAAACTGTAAGTTATTCAATGTGTCTTTAATTTTTTTAAATTTAATTATACGTTTATTAAAAAGTGACACATACCTTATTTTTTAAACTACAAAACATAATTAATTTGGATTTGTAAAAAATAATAAACAGGTATAAAATATAACAATGATAACAAATTCTTGGGTATTAGCAGTATTTAAGAATAAAATATGTAAATATTAACTTATGGTGCTAATAATGAACAGAAAAATATACCATAAAATAAAAATAGAAAACTAATACACTTAAAAATTAAACTAATGTCCTAAAATATTCTTTCACTATGACTATTCATTATTCATTTTTAAACTTTTAAAAATCTGGTTTAGTGTAGGAAAAATACTTAATAGGATCAAATAATGTATTATAATAATTAGGGTTTAAAGAAGTAAGATTTGCATGTGTTTTTGCTTATTTTAACCATATTCAAAAAAAAAGAATATGTCACACATTTTTTCCAACAATTTTTTTTGACAAAGTTGATCAATACACATTAGTATATTACACATATTATTGGTCTTAAACTGTCAATCTCTAGTAAGTATTATCAATAACTCATATAATAATACTAAACACATGCATTCTTGGAATTTTCCAATAATTTAATTTTCGTGATTATTCTACAAGATTTTAATAATAATAATAATAATAATAGGATAATACAATAAATATAGATTAACACAACAATTTAATTGTCAATAATATTATTTGGCGTAATTGTTAACTGTTTGTTGTCAGTATCTTAAATATATAATGTTGTCCAATGTATAACTCTGTACTACTTAATGTGATAAGAAAATATAACATTTCATTTGTTCATATTAAACACTTTTTGTTAGTGTATATTTTACCTAATTTACCTCCTATAATTTCTGAGGCCTAATTATAATTAATAATAATATGAATAGTATATTTTGCCATACAATAAAAGGCACTAGGTATAATTATTATTATTTTTTTTTTTATGTGTCCAATCAGGTACATTTTTTCTACCTACTTAAAGAGACATTATAGAGAGTAGTTATAAAATGGTGACAATTTTTGAACACAATATTTATTTTAAGTAGGTACACTGTTTTAAGTTTTCTATTAATATTTTACGATATATTTTTTTTTTGTGTATTTTGGCATAGTTATAAGTTGATTTATTTATAAATATTGAAAAGTTAGTAGGTAAAAGTATTAATAAGGAATAACATAGATTTGAGTATAAACCCAAAATTAAATAAATGCACTTCAATCAACAGAAAAAAACTAACAAATCAGATAATAATAATTACTAAAAACAAATTTGATCATACTTTATCTATCAATATGGGGATTTAAAGATTAGTTTATAAGCAAAGTCTTATGATCATTACATATACTTACAAGTAATGAGTACAACAGAAATGCGAAGTAAATATTCCATTGTCGTTTTGTCCCAATTCTGAATTCTTTTCTTCATGTATGTATTCCAGATGATTTCTACAGGAACGTACGCTTGGAGCGCGTAAGTAATGAATATGGCAAACGCAAAGATTATTTTGACTAACTGTGAGAGGCTATAGAATAAACGATAAATAAAAATATATAGTTTTCCAGAAAACATTAAAATTATACAATATATACACAAAATGTTACTTACATTTCATTTTTCGGTATGTTGAGTGTTACACTTCCTTGGGTGTCTAAACCGTATTTGACGTATCCAAAAAATCCCATCGCCACATACATGATTGTGATGGCGGTCATGCCAACATTAAGTACACCAGTTGTGCCACCAAAGGACGCCGGGGTTTTCATGTTATTCTCCAGTGCTAATACCTTTGGATTAAAATTATTTAACTTGAAGTTAATATTATGAACAATGTTTAATATTCAAAAAAATAATTTGAGACATCTATTTTCAAAACAAATTATTAAAAGATAAGCTCACACATATAAATCACTGTTATAACCATGAAACCAGAAAAACGAATGTCAAAATAGTGACGGCAAAGTAGCTAAAAGACATAATAGCGAATGTCAAAACAGCTTGAGTATATTATTTTACAATAATTATTATTGTACATGTTTAGTGATACATCAGTCTTTCGGATATACAAATTAAATACAAAAAATAAAAACATAAAACATACAGAGTGTGTAAACATTAAGCGTGCTCATAACATTTTTTTTTTTTTGCATATATTCAAATTCTTATTTTTGGAATATTTAAGTGTAGTTAAAATCAATATTTTTTAATACTTAGATTTTTTTAAGAAGAAGATTTAAGAAGTATCTCGTGGTAACACTAACTTTAGTTTTTCAAATGAGTTTTTGGAACTACTACCAACTTTTGATTTTTAAATAGCAACCTATATTAAAAATTCCATAAATAGACAGATAGACAGACTATGACTTTAAATAAATTTTGGTGTTAAAATTTTTCAATTTCCATCAACCCGTTAACGAGATATTCCACTTCTAAGTTTAGGTAGAGGAAAAGTAGTGAAGTATCATTTGTGTGGCGGCACAGAGCATGGAATTTTATTAGTGTACCACTACTCTCCTGTGACCTATATTTAAAAATGAAATATTTTGTTAACGGGCTGACAGAAATTAAAAATGTTGACACCAAAATTTATTTAAAATAATAATCTGCCTATTTATGGAATTTTTAATATAGGATCTCATTTGAAAAACCAAAATTGGTATTGCCACCTTAAGATTAGGTTAGGTTAACCTAACCACCTTAAGATACTCCTTAAAAGTTGCAAAAATCTAAGTATTTGGAAATATTGGCTTTAACTACATTTAAAAATTCCAAAAATCAGAATTTGAATATTTGCAAAATTTAACCAAAAGAATGGGATGAGCACGGTTAGTGAATTACCCTGTATATATTATATTATTTTATTATACTTGTAGTAATAAATTGTAGGCCATGAAATAATTAACAATATTTCTTTTCGTATAATGTTTTTCAATTTTTAATCTTAACACAGTATCTTGATATTTTTTATTTTTGTTGAGTTTTGTCCTCTTATGTATTGCTCTACTTTAATTTCTGTATTGGTCAGTTCTTGTTTGAACCTTTCTATAAGTTTCCAAAGTGTTGTGTGACATGATTCAAGTAAATTACTAAAATCACAATTCTATATAATATACAAAAACTTATTAAACATACTTAATATATTTGTTTATACATTATAATTACTTTTGACAGAATTATTAATTTTTGGCAAATCTATCGTGCCATAACAAATAAATACTGATAATAATAATTTCAAAATACTATACTTTAGCTGTTTTGAACATTCACTATTATTTCTTTTAGCTATTTCGACATTCGCTATTGTGGTTTCGTGATTTTGACGTAATACCTATATATATGGTTGGAAAGCATAGATAGCAACCAAACAGACAAAGAAAAACTTGATAATTGTTGAAAATATAGTGTATAGGAAAATATGTGGACTTATCATCAATGAAACAATGGGGAACTGGTGAAGGAGATGGAACAGATTAGTACAATATGATGGAACTAGCAACAGATAGATTTGTTATATGAAAATGAATCAATGATTGCATTAGTTAGATCATTTTGATTTACTCAGTTGGTTTTGTTAGAAAAACCTTTGTTCTATAGCTGTTCCTGAAATTTACAATTTACCATTTGGTAAATTTTTTACATTTGGCCGGTTCGGAAATTAAAATTATTAATGAATAAGAATTTTGAAAACAAACACAATTCCACCCCCCTCTACCTTAGATGAAATAAGTTATACCTTTGTAAATGTATTGTTCAGCTAGTTTTGAAACTATATAGATTAGATAGTTTTTTTACTTAAATTGCAAAAGACAGCCGTGGTTACTTACTACGCCGACAGCTTCCAAAGCAAACAGTGTAGTACCCACAAACATGGTGTATTTCATAGGTTCGCCAAATAACGGTCTAGATGATACAGGTGGCAAATCCTGGAATATATAGTACAGGACAATTCCAAGACCAACAAATGTGATGATGTTGGCCAACTGCGAGAATGGAGCCAACAACTTTAGGTTTCTTATCAGATTGATGGCCACTAATGGGATTAACATAAACAACATGTAATACCGTTCATTCATTGGTGTAATGTATATGTCCAACACCTGCAGGATAAAAATAAAAATAATTTTAATTATCGGTGTTAGTTAGTAGCTGTACAAACTATTAGTGGGAAAAATCTGAGTTTGTCGATGTTCAATAATCTGAATTTTTGGCATTTGTAATTTGGATTTTGAATTTCAAAAACAAAAAATGTATTTAAAAATTACTTTTTACATATTTTAAAATATAGAAAATAAAATAATATAATATACATATAATGGATTATATGAAATCAAAATATTGAATTTCAAATTCCAAAATTAGAATTTTCAGAATTTGTTATCTGAATTCATCTGAATTTTTAGATTTATGTCATAGTGAGAATATCAAAAAGGTTTTAAATCAAGTGTGATGTTGGAAAACTTACACAAAAATAATATTGCGCTACAATCATTCCATAACATCCCATTCAAACTCTATAGATTAGTTATTAATTACTCGAAATGGGTTTTTATATTTTGAAATAGAATAGCTACCAATAATTATTAGACTCCATACAATTATTCTGTATTTGTAAAGTTATGGTTTATTTACCTGTTTGAGGGAGGATCCAATGAACATGATATACACGCAACAGATGCCTAACTGATAGACGATCAAAAACCCATCAACGACCACCCTGGAGAAAGAAAAACAATGAAAATCTGTCAAGTACCTAAATACACCAAACATTTGGTATTTTTTTTTGTTTTCTCATTTTTGGCTGCTTACATTCATTTTAGTTTAATATAATTAATGACCATGAGGTGTATTAAAATGGCTCTTGCCAAGGCCATAACAATGATAATAAAAATTAAAAATAAAAAAAATAAAAAAAAAAAATACACACATAAAGGAAATGTATTATTATTACTGCTACAATGTTTAGTCAATACACACACTAGACATGCAGAGCGTAATTGATATTAATACTATTGCGGATGTCTATACAATTTAAAAACATAATATATGTGTAAGATACAGATACATACATACTCATATTTACAAATAGTCATTGCAGTAAATTATTTTTTTTTTTAGAATAAATAATGATTGTTATTAATTAATTTTACCATAATGAAGACAATTTTGGCTGATAAATTAAAAAAAAAATTATTTAATTTGAAGTAAAAAAAAGGATCAATTGGTTTAACATGATGTGTTTTATTCTTTTTGTATCTTTAAGCAACTCTTATACTAGAAATCTTGCTACAATCGAAAAATTAAGATAAATTTTTTATTGAATTGCGGATCTAATTGGTGAGTAGTTAATTGTTTTAAAAATAAAACCGAAAAAAACGTGAAAAAAAAAAAGTTTACAAAGATAATGATTTCAATATTATTAGTTTTTCTTTTGGTGTAATTCACAGTTAAATACAAATATTTGTAGACAAGACATTTTGACAGAAAACTTATATTTGCCTATTTTAGATGTAGGAAAATTGTTTAGCTATACATATGAATTTTATGTTAGCAAGATTATTGTACGTAGTTTTTATTTGGTAGGTACAATGTGGATATAATTGTTTGATCAAACAGAAATTCTTGAAAATTTAACAAGAGATTTAAGTTATAATTAGTGGTTAATGAAAGAAACTAGAGTGTAATAATGTAATCATTTTTTTTATAATGTTCTTTTAAGAACAAACTTTAAATATTATGTATAAACGAACTCTGCTCAGAATCATTTTTTGGTTAGTAATAGTTTATTGTTGCTTACAGATATAAATCAAATGTATCCTGTTTATTAACTTTTCATCAACAATAGTGGCTCAGCAGTATTACAACATTAGGTCTATATTTTTATTTTTAAACTTAATTACATTATAAAAATGTGTTTTAATCAAGTTCTATTATCAACCCAATCAAGAATCAAGAATAGTTTAAACTATTTAAAAAAAAACTAGTTTATTTAAATCTTGATCAAAATTCTAAAGAATTATAATAAAATACAAAAATTTTAAGTTACTAATATGTCCATTTGACAGAACAATCATATTGTATTCTATGAATAATGACTACAAAGTGTTTTTGAAATTTTTTTTATGAGTATTAAATACTATCATTTGGTGTTATATACAATTTCGATGATTTTTATTTTTGACTGTTGATATTTTTGATTCTGATTTATTAAATACTTAAACATGCCATGCAGGTACTTAAAATTTATTTCCTTATTAAAAAAAAAAAATAAGGTGTGTATATTTTTGATATATCTAATGTGCATTTAAATTATAATTATATTTTATAAAATTGTTTATTTTTAATGCTTGTATGAGTAAGTATAATTTTTAAATGTCATGATGTGTGTAAGAATTTGTAATAATTAATATAGAGATGATGAATGTAGTATAAAAAATATTTTTTATTAGTGGTTATTTTATTATTTGTGTATGTATTCCATATATTTATATAATATGCCACAGAAAACCAATTAACATTTGCACTGTGTATCTCATTAATACATCAAATTTATTGATGTCAGAAATTTAAATGTTGTAACTTTAATAATAAAGTAGTCAGCTATAAGTAACATTATTTTATGCGATTTAGCATTTATTTGATTTAATTAGCGACCTACGAAAGATAACTTGATAAAATGCAATTATTATTATTGTTTCATCTCATTTCACATTAATTTAGAATCATAATTTTTATATATAGATATAAGATACAGCAAGAGTCAAGAAGAGATGATTATAATAAGCAAGCAGCCCAATCTGACCTAGAATATACTTGCTAAAAAAAAGTTATACAAAAATAGCCTAAAATTTAAAACTGGAGAAAGGCTTTCATTTTTGTATAGGCTGACAGAAAAATTATCAGATCGTGTTTATGTAATAGTAATATTAATGAGAGTTGAAATAAAATCACCAACGCGGAAAGAGGGACTCCAAATTTCAAACAATCCGGACCATCTTTTAAAGCATATTTCATAGAATCTGGATAACTCAGTATGGGCACTCGCAGTTTCTTGCATAACAGGTACTGAGATCTAACCTATATCAAAAGATTAAAATCATAATATCATGTTATATATCAAATACAAACACACATAAAAATTTTACAAGAATAACTAAATTATAAAATCAGTTTTCTTCATATTTCACTAATTTAAAGTTTATATTTTTCCCAAATCATAAATATTTTATTATTTATGTCTACTATTTTTTCATTGGACTCAAACCTCAAAATATTGTAAAGTTAACATCTCTAAAATTAATATTTAGAATTGTATAACCACTCTTTTCATTCCTACCATTCCCAACATTCTAGTCAATTTAAAAAAAAAGTATTTTTATTGAATTTTCACTGTATTTAAAACAATATTTTTAATTTTTACATTTTCTTATTGACCTAGTCAATTTTTTTTAGCCGCGTTTTATTGCCTGAAAGACACTTACTAAAACATGCAAGCAATACGTGCACAGGAATCCAATGAGTATAGTGCCTATGGTACCAACCAATAAACCGGAGTTGAGAAAGGCATTGGGCATAGCAAGAATCCCTGTTCCCAAACTGCCCTTGAGCAAGTGGATGAGCGTCTCTGAGTTCCTAAAAAAATATAATTTTTATTAAATAAGTGTTAAATACATTTAGTAAACTATAGGATTACGGTATATTTGGTTCTCCAATTAAGGGACCTCGGAGGGGGCGTAATTAAATGAGAACTTTATTGATAATTCAGTACTGATCCGCAATTCCAAAAGTCTTAAATAGGTACCAGGTGATCCATTTAAATGAGTTAACTCATTATCTGGAAAAGTTTTAACTTTTTTCGAAATTTGTTTTCCATAACATTTAAGAAACAAGCATTATTAACATACCGCACACTATACACAAATGATACTCCACTACTCCCCTGCATTAAAACTTAAAAGTGGAATATCTCGTCAACAACTTGATAGAAATCAAACATTTCAACACTGAAATTTTAACTAATACTCCATATTATATAAAATTAAAATAAAAATTTTGCCCATGATCCCCCAATTGATGCTGAAAAAAATGAATCAACATTTCGCTGTCGGTGTTGAAAACTTTGATAAGCTTAAAACTCGAAAAAATATAATTAGTAAAAGAAAAAAAAAATATTTTGATAACGCAACCTTATACCTAAAAAATAGCTTTTCAAAAAAAATTTATATTACCAAATAAGGACCACTTATAATTAGTTTTGAAAACGTACAAAATAAATAGGGGTTCGATATGGATTTATATTGACGGATATAAAAAATAAATATTTGTATAGAAAACTGAACAATTGTTATATTGAACGTTTAGATTGATTATTTTTCGCTGAATAAACGTCTTAATTATTTGTTGTATATAAAAAAAAATAGTTTCTTTTTATATAATACATGAAAACTATTAAACAAATTCAAAAAGATTATAATAAAAAAGTTAAAAACGAAAAAAATATAAAAAAACATAGTAAAGGTAGAAAAGAAAATTTGTTGAAAGAAAAAGTTAATATATCTATTCCAGAAATTGAAAAGATTAAATTTGAAAAAAAATTGAAAAAATACATATAAAAAAAAACGTAATAATAAAGAAAACAGTACATTTTCAAGAGAATGCATATGTTCCTGAAGAGAAAAAAAATCTCAATACAGTACCAACAGAGATAGAGATTGAAAGAACAATTTGTCTTGAAAAAGAGATGCAAAATATGTATAGAAATGAAACAGAAAAACAAATAAATAATGAAGTAAAAAAACGAAAGGAATTTGAGCCTATTACATCCGGTTTAAAAAATATTGAAAAAGCTGTTAGAAAAACAGATGATGATATTACATCGTTTTATAGTTCCTGTGAGATCATATACTCAAACTCTAGATTTTATTGATAAACAAAATAAATTGATCACACAAAAAAGTATTACTAACACTCCAACAAGAGAAAATCAAACCCAAACAGATCATTCTACAGTATTTCTAGGAGAACTTGTAGTAAAATACTTACCAAAGACAAATGATAGACAATTTGGAATATGATATAATACAGATATATAATTGGAAAAAACGAGATTAATATAAACAATAATAACATAATTTTAAATAATAAAACATATAAAGGGTTTATGGAGATTATTATAACCAGTAGCTATTTGGGTTCAATTTATATAATGCTGAGGATTTTAAATAAAAATGTATTGCTTGAACCAGATTCAATATATCAAAATAATGATAAAAATACAAGAAGAATTAAATCAAGTAAAGGGGATAAATATTTAAAAATGATTTCTCCTTTTTGAAAAGAAATTAATGATAATAGAAAAATAGAACTTGAAAAATCTGGTACAAAATCCAATACAATATAAATATATCAATAATTTAAATGCATTTTTAAGAAGACTAAATTTTATTGCTGCAGAAGGAGTTGGGAATAATAATTTTCATAAAAAAGAAAATTGTTTAATATATCAGCATCCATTTCTGGTAGACAGAATATTGTAATATTATAGATAAAAGTTGATGACTTATTTATTTTGTACATTTCAAAACTAATTATAAGTGGTCCTTATTCGGTAATGTAAATCTTTTTCGAAAAGCTATTTTTTAGGTATAAGGTTGCAATATCAAAATAAAATATTTTTTTCTTTTACTAATTATGTTTCTTCGAATTTTAAATTTACCAAAGTTTTCAATACCAATAGCGAAATGTCAATTATATTTTTTCAGCATCTCAATATCAAATTTAGTTTTCAACATCTCAATTCCAAATAAGTTTTTTAATGTCGAAATATCTAATCAATTTTCAGCATCAATTGGGGGATCATGAGCTAAATTTTTATTTTTGTTTTATATAATATTTTTAATGGTTTTGTTGAATGTTTCTGGTGCAGTTTGATATTTAAAAAATTGAGATAAAATAGTGTAAAAATTATTGTTAAAATTGTGATAAGTATCAACTACGACAGAACATACATTCTTATACTACTGATATAAATATATTGCATTTAAAATGTTAATTTTTTACCATCACGATTTTGATTAGGTACCTACCCATTTTATTGGACATAATATATAATGGATCAATTATGAACTGTACAAGTGGTGATGATAGTCAATAAAAGTCACCATCACAAGTCACTTAGACTGTTTTCGCATTGAAACAAAAATATCGTTTTCAAATCGCTATGAATACATTTCATTTAGGTATCTACCTAATTTGAATTTATCATTTTCTACAAGTAGGTATCTATATCAATGTAAATAATATGTAAATCAAGTTTTCCCATTTTTTTTTTTTTTTTTTTTTAAATTTATCTACGCTTTTGCTGGTTTTACTAATGGCAAGTTAAAATTTACTCACATAATAATATAGTCTATTGAAGTATATCAAATTTACAAAAATATACTTAAAAAATATTGAGGGAGTAGCATAATTATACTTACGTGGTCGGGTGTTCCAGTATCCTGTGGGCATGTGGGTCGTATGGCGGAGATCCGTTTGCGTTAAGAGACAAATTTTCGTTGGACAGGTTCACTGCATACGATTTTGATTTTTGTTCTTTGCTGCAAAACAAATAATAGCTTGTATAAAATATAATGTACTGATATTTATTGGATACATTATGTATTATAATTTTTAATTAATTGCGAACTGTTTTTTTTTCAGTCTGTACGAATACGATTGATAGCCAGAGCGGCGTGACGTATCGACTACGGGCGCCACTTTCGTATAAATAACAATTATATTGCATTGACGATTTGATCTTGTACGCGATCGTACAGACGTACGTCTAGACTCTAAACGCAAGTACATTAATTATAACGGTTATTACAATACGATAGAATAAAATAAAAAATTATGATCGACGATCATATTCTAAAGTCGTTTGTTATAATGCATGGCTATGAACGACGCCCACTCGATCATTTTTGAATCAAACACGATTGTGTATTGTATACGCAAACCATAGACATATTAATAAATGGACTGCGCTTTCCTCACCACCAGCCATAGGTGTAAAAGAACTCTATTTTTGAGGGGACTGTATCTCTCCCCTCCCAAAAAAGAATGTAACTAAAATAAAATTATGAGGGTCACACAGTCAGTTCACTAATATCATTAAATTATAAAATTTGTTTTAAAATAACTATTTAATATAATTTATAATACAAGTAATGAAAAACATAAAATAGCATAATATTTACAACTTATTGTTTCTTTCACTTTTAGAAAATGAAATTAAAATAATATATACAATTTATATAATATGTTATAATCAAATTTACGTATGTAGTTAATATATACAGATTGATTAATCTATCGTAAGACACTCATTATCTTATAAAGTAATACATTCTTTAAAAATTTGTTGTATAGAACATTTAAGAAACAAGTAGCCCTACAATTTTACTTTTATGTTATTTTTTGGCGGTAAAACCAAAAACTACAGACTTTTGATTTTCAAATGGTAAACTATACTGAACATTTCACAGATAAATGGAGTATTAATTAAAATAAATTTTGTAGTTGAAATTTGTTTATTTCCGTCTATCCGTTGACGAGATATTCCACTTTTAAGTTATTAAAACGACAAACCTTGAGAACGAAAAATTCTAAGCAGAGAATTATCATTTTTCCCTTGTTGCCAAGGTAACCAAGAAATCGACACAAGTTATAGGACAAATTGTCAGTTCTTTTCATTTTCAAAAAATTGCCCCCCCTCTCCCCCAAATGCACCGATCAAATCGAAAGTGTTACTGGAAATATGTTATAAAGTTTTTGAAACAACACTTCAACAATAACAACGTTATTTACACACACACATACACACACACACACAAAAAAAAAAAAAAAAACTGGGACTAAAATTTACGAATATTTAAAAAGGACGCTTTATAAACGAGTGTTGTGTATTGTGGAGAGCGTTGTGACATGTTCATAGAAACGACTACCAGGGTCCCATGCGGTCGGTCGACCGTTCGCGCTCCGTCTACTTTCAACTATTCAGTATAATAATACGGGTTTTTATGCGTCTCTATTTCTACTATACTATTATTCACTACAATCGTTACCTATGCTCTACGCACATTTCCGTCGAGCTGAACTAGTATAAATTTAAAAAAGAGCTGATACTGCTGATGGGTGTTCCACGATTGTATGTGAGAAGTAAAAAAGGTAAAATTATTCATTTGTATGCGATGATTTATCATTGCTAACGAACGAAGTTCGATTGTACTCGTTTTAAAATGCTGCAATCATTTTTACCATTTTCGTGAAAATTTAAAAAACGCTTATAGGTTCATTATATATATATTTACCGTGTGTCCCAAAAAACAGGGGCCACTTTACCACTCATTACCCTGTATTTTTTTTTCAATTCTGTTTGCGGGACATTAAACTAGACTAACGGATAATAAATTCCTATGACTTACAATTTTTGTAACTCATGTATCTTGCGCATGCGCAACAAAACTTACATTTTTTTTAAAGTAACCCCTATTTTGAATATCATTTTCGCATTCATCAATTTTTTTCAAGTCATTTTGTTGCATCAACTTGTGTTCTAAACCCAAAATTGGCTTAACTAGAGCTAAGTAGAATTTAAAAAAAAAATTTAATTTAATTTAATTTTTTTTTTTAACTTTACGTACTTATTTTTCCTTATAAACATCATGAAACAATCAAAATTATTATTATTACACATTATGAAATAACATAGTTTAAACATGTGTTTTCAGGAAACAAAATTCTAAATTCTATTATATATTTTTTTAATAATACTATACATTTTTATTGACAGTTTAATTTACAGAAATTACAAATATAATCTATTCAATAAACTGTTCGAAAGTCCCTTCGTTGTGTAAAGTGCATACCTCAAATCAACGTAAACATTTGTAATAAAGTGAATAAAGGGGTACAGAGCAACTGAATGTATACTCACTAATCACTTAGATTACTTATTACAGCCTATGACGTTAAAAAACAATTAATATAAAATATATACTATGAAAATAATATATTTATCTATCCTGAACGGAGTATCCTCAGCAACAACGTTGAGTTTTAATACAGGTATAATAATATTTATTTATTATGTTGATGAGAATAGGTAGTAGGAATGACAAAATAAACACTTGATTTAATTAAAAATGATGATATCGGAATGTTAGAAGCCGGAATAACACGCACTGGCGGGAAGACGAAAAAGAAGACGAGTAGCCAAGGCAGGATTCGGTGGCCGAAAGAATCGAGGAGTCTTTTATGAAAAAGAAAGGGGAAAAGAGTGGAGTGGTCTTGTCCGGTTCTCATTATTATCATGTCTTATTATTATATGAGATATTTAATTGTAATACATAGTATTTTGTATTAATCTAAATTGACTTATAAACTGATAAAATAAAGTGGTGTCCACTATAATAAAATGTAGTGTAGATAATATTAATGTTATATAATATTACATTATGATATAATTAGTTGATTAAAATTATGATGTATTCCATATTGTATATATCGTTACATATTCACGAATAGTTGCTAACAGTAATTGATTTTCATTTAAGAATAAGATTTTCATTTTAATTTTTCACCAATTCGTATTCTTAACAATTCTTGGACAATTCGGGCATTATGAGCAGGTGCCCCGTCTTGTAGATAATACATGTTTCTACGTGTAGCTAAAGATAAATCATCAAGGAGTAATTGCAAATCATCACGCAAAAAATCGAAGTATCTTCTTCCCGTTAAAGTTCCGTCGTAGAAATGGTGCCCTAGTAATTTCCCACCAATCAAACCAAATCCATACGTTTGTACTCCAACATGCTTGGAAGTTTGTAGGAAAAGTCCAATGAGGATTTTTATTCGACCAATAACGATTATTTTATTTATTTAATATTCCATTATTAGTAAATTTACTTTGGTCAGTCCACAAAATATGATTAATTAATAATGGGTTTTGCTCAGACGTCACCAAGAAATACCAAGAAATAAAATTTTATTTTAACAAAATTCAAACTATAATTTTACAATACCTATTGACAATAACGAACAGAAAACGTCAAATTACAAAGACCACAATGACACATGACTCTGATAATGAGTTTCGTAATACCTAACACAAAAATAGGTAATGGCATTTTAATAAGTATAGGTAGATAATAAAACTAGAATACTAGATTATTTCATGTGTAAAAATAAAGTAAGATAATAATTCATAAATAGTAAATAGATAAGCCAATTTTGGGTTTAGAACACAAGTTGATGCAATAAAATTACTCGAAAAAAATTGATGAATGCGAAAATGATATTCAAAATAGGAGTTGCTTTTAAAAAAATGTAAGTTTTGTTGCGCATGCGTAAAATACATAAGTTAAAAAAATTGTAAGTCATAGGAATTTATAATCCATTAGTCTAGTATAATGTCCCACAAACGGAATTGAAAAATATTTACAGGGTAACGAGTAGTAAAGTGACCCCTGTTTTTTGGGACACACAGTATATATACATGTATGTACAAAAAAACTGTATTTTATGGTTCATTAATTATTTTTTTACCATCTGCAGTACAAATTAAGATTAAACTCGTGTCAAATTTTTAAACCAAAAAATGACGAGGTTTTTATGATTTCCAATATTACCATAAGCATTTAAACTTTAATTGCGTATAAAAAAAAAGCTACATTTACGCACAACTTTTATTTATTTAACCACTAAGAAAACAACCTATGATGAACATCGTTTAAAATTGTCAAAAACGCTTTAACAAAATTAATGTATCCACATAAATCGAACGAAAAACTTTTCACTTATGATTTTTATTTTGTATACACAAATGCAAATATGTAGTTTTTGTTGTTCGTTTTAAAATATCGACTTCAAATGTAACCATTTACTAAAACAAATAAAATGGTTTAATTATACCTTCTACAATAAGCATAATATAGATATAGCACGTGCCATATTAATCGATGGTTATTTGCATTACATCGAATTACTACTTACATAGTTGTATCAAAATGTACGTTTTGCGTAATTACAGCTTATATACATTAAAATATAGTCAAGTTAATTTTTCTCACACGAGGGGGGAGGGGGAAAAAAAAGAATGCATGTTTTTTTTTTTTTTTTAAATTATAGTATTATTGTGAATAAAGAAGATAGTCTTGCCTGATCACATACTTCTAGACCGATATTACATTGTTTGTTAATCAATTGATAAATAACGACTTATGTCGTTTTGTACGCTTTTAACGGAAATAATATTTATACTAGGGTCAAATACAATAACTAATATAATACACATTCCTTTTAGTATTGTTCATTTCTAGGTATCTATATAGAATAAATAAATAGGTACATTTTTCCGAAAATTTAATTCAAGCCCTTTTTCCCTTGATATTATTGAAACATTATAAGTATTACGTTTCCATAACACGAATAAATATGTTGAGTTTAAATTCGAATTGTTTTTCCACAGTGTTGGTTATAAAATATAAATATTTTTTTATAATAAAACTAGTAGTAACGATTCTAAATAAAACAAATAACACAAATGTCAATATGTTACACATTTTAGAACAAAATAAAATAATTATTCGAAAATAAAACCACCTGTTGATTGTATTGTCACGCTCTCTTGAACTATACCTGGATTCCGTTGCTGCTGCAGCGATCTTCGTTACAGTGACGTTTCATTTCCCTATCTGCTTTGCCTATTGAATTCGATTTTTTCGCTTCTAAATGAGTTTTAGGTACCTATTTGGTTAGTCTCTTTACTAACTTGATTTATACGTGGGTAAAACACTAAATAAAACTTTCGGAAAACACATTTTACGCAACGACTGCCGACTGCAGTGGTCCGAGTGAATTATCGTCTAGTTATAATCAGTTGCAGTGTGTGACCTTTAGTGTACGTACTGCCAAAAATATTTGAATACTTTTACGCGAACGTTGCGAGTTAGTTTTTAAATTTATTATTATTATTAGTTTTTTTTTTTAAGTAATATATTAATAATTTTATACCTATTAAATTATTGCCAGGAATACTTTGCACTATAGGTAGGTCACTGGTATAGGTTGTACCAGTGGCGCTGCGAATCACAATAATATTTATCCACTCATCTACCCAAAAAGTGGACGGGTAAAATAAAATGTAATTTATCAAATCTTTAAACAATATAAAGTTACGATATTGCGAATGGAAAATGGTAATATTAAAACGATTTGGTTTTTAATTATTTATAAAAAAAATTGTGAAATGATAATCCAAAATAATAACTTTTGTAAAAATTATATTTTTCTTGTGATTTTAAATAAATTACAATAAGCATAATTATTTCGTTTCTTGATTTTTAAGTAAGTAATTTCAATTAGTTTTTTTTCAATGTAAGTTGTCACTGGGTATCAGTTGTTTCGTAAATCAATTTTGTTATCATTATTAAAAGGTAGGAAATCGCCCATTTTAATATTGGCCAATGGTATTGGCTTATTTTATACGTAGTGCCTAGGCTATGTACATTTCGGTAATATGCCTACCGCTGTGAAACAAAAAATGATAAGTGATAATGACGATTGGTGAAATAAAAATTTAAGTAACAATAATTCAATAGGTATTGAATTAATACCCGTTAATTGTCGTTGAAAAAAAGACCATGTATGGGGATCTACCCCCCCCCAGGTGTGAATACACCTATGGATTAAAAACATCAGTGTTTTATAGTTTTTATAATATACAAATTACACATTATAACAAATATGAAATACTTTTAGACATAGTTATCGTCATCACAGGTCAAGAGGTTATACTTCCTTTATAATATTATAATGAAATATACGACGAATTATATTATTGGTTTACATTGTGGGTATACGCATGAATTATATATATAATTTCCGAGCACTTTTCCAACCTAATACAGAGAGGAGGACAACTTGGACATTTTCCCCGATCTAAATACTAACATTAATATTTAAGATATACAAAAAATGAAAATTAATCCACGATTAATAAACCTTTAACACATTCGGGGCACGGGAAGACGTTGACCTATTACACTCAAACTTTATCATAATTATTTTTTTAATACATAGAACAAAATTTATGGTACTCGTCATCGAATTTAACAAAAAAAAATTAACCTTTACAGCTTAGGACCATTATGAATCATAATGGGCGTAATGAGCACATATAAGATAATTTTCAGAGGAGGGATAAACTGGAACCAAATACCAAAACGGGCATTTAAAAGAACACAAGACCTACAAAAAATGTTAAAGTGCTATAATTGGTTCATTACGAGATAATGTATCTACGATAATCGTATGGTCAGTGTATCAAAGCTCTGGTCAGGACTCAAGAAAAAAGTCAAATTTTGTGTTTTTGAATATTTTCCAAGAGTGGGACATGTGTCTCTCTTGGCACCACTCCCCCAATAATTCTATACCAATATTGTAATATTAAAACGTATTAGTACTATCTTGTGTTTCGTTAAAATATTCGTGTTATTTCGAGTAAGTATGTTGGAATGTTAGATTACCCCGCAATCGTGCAGATGTTTTATAACAAGGAAGTGAACTATTCGGACTGACCAACAAACGCTAAAAACAAGGCGAATACTATTCTACACATAAACAAACCAATAATAATTATTAATAAAAAAAAAAAAAACAACGAGTAATTGATTATGATTTTTTAATGACGAGCGGCCCTATCCAATAAAAACGATAATAAATTGTTGATTCGATCTAAATATCCACTACCTGGTATAAAGTTCAAATCTGTTGTGAAACTATTAAATATGTAGCGTCGGGTTCTTTATAATAATATTGCTGTTACTAGGTAATTACTCGATACATTTTTAAATAGAATCCATTTTTAACTCGATCAACAATATACAATATAATTAACATTATCGTATTACCTATTGAAAAAAATATAAACAATCATAAACCTAATTATTATTGTTATTATTATTATTATTACCAATAATAATTATGTACACAATTATGCTATGATCATGATCGTTACGAACACGGCGAAAAATCGGACGTCTCGAAAAAAAGACTTGTAGCAGAGGAGTTACACCTGCCAACTTTATTTAAAATAAATATAAATTAGGTTAAAAAAAAAAAAACTAGGCCGACCGTTCACAACGGAAATATTCTAATTAAAATTTTTTTTTTATTATTAAAAAGAGTCGCCGTCACCTGTAATCAGATAATCCGTCTCGAAATAAAATCGTAATAAATATTTCGGCCAGCACTGGACTCCAGTATTCCACAATAAAACACACACATTGAAAATATTCACAGATCGAATTCAGTAGACTCTAGAGTCTAATAACGTAGACGGGGGGGGGGGGGGTTAAAAACCTAGCCTCTCTCGAAATGTCTAGCGGCTCCCTTTGGACCAAATGAGTTCAACAAACTCGGAAATTAAATGTTGTTTGTAGGAAATGGCAATAATTGAGTTTAATTTCAACATGATCTTCACCATATTATTGTAGGAGCGGTTTTTTCTTTTAGCTTTCAACACTCCTACAGACCTTCCAAATCAAGCTAGAGAAGGAGGGGGTGACATTTTTCACGCATGGCGTTAGTATTTATACCAATAAAAGGATGTGTCTTTTGGGGGTTTCAACTCCCAACCCCTTCCCCCTGCTCCTATCATTTGTATACTTACATTTTTTTTAGAAGTTGTCTAGTATAGAAAAAATTGTACTTATTACTATGGTGTTCGGTTATTTATCTTTTTACAAAGAATATTTCTACTTTAAACAATATATATATATATATATATATAATCGGGGGGGGGGGATTTGACTAGTGAAAGAGCTCTTGCTGAACACGGGTTTTTTTTTTTCAAATGAATGAGAGGCTATTATTTATTGTATGTGTATCTACTAAATATTATATTAAATTTTTCTCATTACCTAGCTAAAAAAAAATCGAATACGTTTTCAATTCGCGTACCGATTATTACGTTAGTAACAAGTATAATAACTGTCATAGTGTATTAGTTCCTACACCACAACTAATTATGTTCATAGATTTTAGACGCGGAGGCGTGTATTTTTTTTTTTTTTTTAATAATCGTTCGTTATTATTCGTCTATCGATCGATAAACTATATTTTAATAATCGCGTATTATTTGACGACATATTTTAGAAAAAAAAAAACAATCGATGGTTTTGTAATCCGTCCGTTACACTGTAACAGGATAATTTATTCGATAAAAAAAACAAGTGGTTCAAATGATATTTTGTCGCGGGAACGGAAGTGTGAAGCCTCGATTGTTTAACAATTATCATTTACATTATTTGTGTTTAGAATTAAATAGGTAATATATAATATAAATGTCGAGGGGCAAATATCGCCCCCCCCGTACTCTCCACACCACGTTTGACCGCCCATGAATTTGTGGAAAAAATATTATGCAATGATTGCAATGGGAATATTACACCAAGTCGAAAAAGATTTGTACGCCGGTGAAACGTAATAAATGCATTATTATTAATATAATCTTGTAGGTATAATGGGGGGTTTTTTTTTTCTCATATTCCTATATTTATACCTTTCGCGGATTTTCGTAGCGTCCAATGGTTCGTATCTTCTTGTACAACACCCGAACGCACCACGATAATAATAATATACCTGGGAAGGTATTGTTGCTGGGGATTTCACCCAGAACAGGTTTACAGATAATAACCACCGAACCCGCGCGTGAATCGAATCGCACCACCACGACGACGGTTTTTCCACTCCCCGTCACCAGTCGTTGATGGGGGGGGGGAGAGGGGCACATAATCATCATCGGTCACACAATACTGTTCATTATATTATCGCTGTCGCGGCGCGGCCGAACGGAATCGGTAAAGCGGTTAAAAATCGAACATAATCGTTTTGTAATACGCGTACCCGTGGGTCAGGTACCCGTCGCATCGTCGTACGTAGCGTATTGCCGTGCATTCAACGGCATTTTGATAAAACGTTTTTCGAAAAAAAAACGATAATACTATTATGGCGCATAGGTAACAATAATATCCGAACATCGCAGTTGCGCGCGTTTTCGTTTGGGTTCCGCGTGTGTGCCCGCGCGTTCCACATCAACCGCGCCGCGGGTGGGTAGACGGGTGTGTGTGTGTGTGTACGGGCACGCGTTTTGTTCGCCAACGGTCGTGTAAACGGGACGAGAAAAAATCCCGCAATGTTATAACAGCATAGGTACGTAATATACTCACGTTTCGGACGGCGGTCCGATGCCGGTCAGCGACAGCGATTCGGACATGACGTCTGGCGGCTAGTCGAAAGGCCCGCGTGCAAGTAGAGCGTCTGCTGCGGTCCCACGTGCGTCGGGAATCGATTGACTTGTCGCCGGGTGAACGCGGCTCCTGAAAATAAAAAAAAAACCAACGACGACGGTCAACAACGAACGGTATGGCGGTACCGGGCACCGCAGAGACGCGGTAACTCACCTCGTGGAAATTTTGGCGGCAAAAAAAAATAAATAAAATTAGACCCTCGGCGTTATTACTACGAACACCGTTGCGGTCGCGGACGTGGTAGAAGGCCGACTGCCCGAAGAGGGTTCGAAAGTGCTGGCCGGGGGACAACTGAACGGCGCGCGAACCGCGTAGTCGAACGGCGGCGGCGGCGGCGGCGGCGGTGGCGCGCGCATTAGCCTCGTGCGCACTCGTCTCGTATCGTCCGTCTCCCGTCCCGGGCATGCGCCCCACTATAATAATAATAATAATAATAATAATAACAATACTATCGTGACGGCGGCGATGGCGGACGGGCCGTGATCGATTCGCGCGGAGTGCCCGCGGGTCGGTGGGGGCCCCGGCGGCGATTATAATTATTACTGCCGCGGCCGCGCTTCGAAAATCCACCCCCCATTTCCGTCCGGTGGCTCGATTAACGCGCCGCATTCCGCCGGGCGATTGATGATGGGCAGGTACCCAGGTACGCAGAGCTGCGGGCGCAGCAGACGCCTCTACCCGTCGACGATACGAACGCGTTGGCGGTGAGACGGCGACGAACGAAATCGTAATACTATCGCGAAATGAGCCGCAGTGATAATCAGTTGTCCGACAACGGTAAGAACCGTTTTCGCGGTAACGCGTGTTAACGTCATGCGATATTGCGCGACAAATCGGCAGTTGGCTTTTGATCGCATCAAGCGGACTGGGACGATTTTACAATCGATTGCAGTGTGATTCAAATAATACGTATTTCAACACGAGTATTACGAAATTACGATTTCGGACCGTTATTATTTTCGAACGACCCTCCGGGGCCGTTTGTTCGCGATAGGAGAACTTGACAGGCAGAGAAAGGACTTTAATGCACAAACAAAATCATAAAATAAAAATACCTATGCACTTATGCATCGAAAAATTAAAAATATGCGCTGAAAAAAATATTATTATTTGAATGTTTAAAAATTGTATTTTTGTTCACAGACGTTGCGAAATGTATAATACCTTAATCTACTCGCAAAACATACGATAAAGTTAACCGAAAAATTATACAAATGCATGAATATTGTTGCTCTAATGATGGGCAATTGTTTTGTGTGATTAATGGTAATTAGAAATGTAATAAGATAAAAAAAAAAATGAAAAAAGTCCTGGTTATGAAAATATTTGGAACGATTTATAGTGAATCCCGAGAAAAATCCCCGCAAACAAATCCCCAAAGCAACTATGCTGTCAAAATGAAATGTATGAAACAAATTTGAAAATACTATATTTCGAATACCTCCATCTAATAAAAAACTTGCAAGCTTTTTGGTGTACGTAGGTATAACCATTAAAACATATTTTATTTTTCTCTTTTTACGGGTTTAATTATTTCCATAGTTGCACAGTCACACAGATCGAAATTACTCAACCGGAACTGAAACAGTACTAACCGTCAAGCCCGGATCAAGACGATTTTGAGTCAAACAATTTTAGGGGTCCATAAACATGTTCGAAATATTGGTGTTTATACAGTATTACCAGCCAATGCCGGGGGCCCACAATATTACGATATCTGTGGCCCCCTCTACCCCCTCCCCATTAATCCGGGCCTGTTAACCGTAATACCCGTGTTTAAACTAATAACGCGTAGGTACCAAACATGTCTGAATAATTTTTGTCTAATGTATTTTCCCAATTCCACAATTTATCGCTCTAGACAATTAATTATAGATATTTGACAACTAAAATTATAGTTATGCGGGCTTTCCTTAAGAGAGTAGATAGCACAGTTATATTTCATCAAATCATTGTTTTGGAATATTTGCTGTTTCGTTTGTAATCTGTATCAATAGGCTAAATAACCATACAGATGACAATGATTAGACGATAGTTTATACATATAAATAAAATTGAAATAGGCGTGTCTTTAAATTTTTTTTAGAATTATTATTATTGATAGTATATCTAGTCCCTAGTTTGGGAATTTATTCGCAAGAATTTTTTTTTTATAGTTGCTATGAACTCGTGTAAAGTATAAAGGTGTGGTACTTTTGAAAAAAAATATGACTGAATACTCGCGATTGTTTTTAATTTTATATTATTTATTTATTTCAGTTTTCGTGGAATATTAGATTCTGAGCGATGAGCAGAAAGTTTTAGTTTTACTTTGATGTGTCTAATTTCGTGTGGTAACTGTAAACAATTTTTATACCAGAAATCTCAAACCAACCTAGAGATGTATAAGAAATTTCCTGTAGCGTTTTTAATAATGTTGTTGCATTGAAGAGGTCATTTTCCTTGTAGATTTCTTCATAAATCAGAAAACTGGCAAATTTTTACCGATTTCTGAATTAATTTGGCAACCAGGGAAACAACGCGATTAACAATGATCTAGTAAGAAAACCAAATTTGTCTTCTACAAATGGAGATAATAATATTTCGAACGTGTAATACTGTATAATATTTTCGACCCTCTGTTCTTGTAGGGAACTACCTATCTGAGACGCACATATTACACGATCATCGCTCGCTATTATCGAGATGTACAATTTCATTATTGTCGTCGTTGCCCCGCACAGAGAACCACGTGGAGACATATAAACCTCAGCGGGATTTCACATTTTTTTTTTCAGCGTTAACATGACCTCGCATACAGCCGCGGGGTAGGGGGCGCAGAATACCAGACGTCTCACTGTCCGTCTATTTTTTTTTTTTCTTACAGAACTCGAGACGTTATTGGAATGCATCGTGTATAGAGGGCCGGCACTGTGTTATATACGAACCATAATATGTATAATGTAAACACATAATAACATAATACAATAACCGTGCGATGTTCGTCGTATAATACAAAACAAAAACAAATTCATCTTTCTCGTTTTATTAAACGCTATTTGTTTAATATTGTATTATTTCGACACGGCACAATGATTTGTTTTCGGTTTTATAAGCGCATTTTACCTTGCGTATGGTTTTTGGTGTTGATGTAGTAGATTCTTTAATTATTTTTGCTGCTTTCGGGTTTTCATATTTGTTGAGAAAACTTGAGAAAATCGAAAAATCACCTTTTTAAGGTACCTCACCACATCGATTTCCTTTCAGATAAGGGGCCACACTTAAAAATCGGAGCCAATTTTCTGCTAGAAAAAATGTCAACAGAAAAAGAAAAAAAACATCTTTGTAAATCATTGTCTTCTTCAGAATTCAGAATTTAATGCTGTCCTTGGATAATGAGGACGGGTGCAGCTACTGTTATAGGTAATTTAATGTACCTGTAAGCAACGATAAACCATTGCTAACGAATAAACGGTTCTGAGCGAAGTTCAGTTGATAATGATGCTTCGTCAACAATATATTGTGTGTCATATTATTGTAGTTGTAATCAATACTTTTTTGAAATCTCAAGTTGTCTAGATTGTACTTTCGAGAGGTCATTTTTAAAATAAATGCAGTGAAGTGGGAAAAAACGTAGAAAACGTAAAATTTCACAATTTCATTATTTTATAAAAACACGAACGACGTTTTCTACTAGAAAAAAAAATTTTATCGAAAAATCACAAGGTATATTTTTTGTTGTCTTTTTGATTTACAATTCATTTTTAAGAAATCGTACTAACAATTTTCAGAACCAATATAGGTACAGGCACGGATCCAGAGCAAAGATCTTGGGGAGAGGGGGTCCAACAATTTTTTTACAACACAAATAAAATTGAAATATAATATAATATATTATGTACATTATTTTATCATACAATTCTCATACAAAAATCGGAGAAATAATATGTCTGAGGGGGGCCCCTAGACCCCTTCCTGGATCCGTCCATGTACATATAAAGGTACCTACAGTTACCTATAAAACATAATTTTAGAAAAGCAAGTTGTATTTAAAACCGTAGGTGAAATAAGAAAATATTGTGATATAACTGTAACGTAAACAAATTATTTGTCGCCTGTAAATAAAGGGCACTACAAGTTACTGCCTTTTAGAGGCAGTAACTCGAATTTTTTTTATTCTGTAGACAAATTTTTTACTACCAATTTTACTCCGATTCACAATGACAGCACTTTTTTTGGAAGGAAATACAACTTCGGAAGGTACTTTAAGAAGGTAATTTTTCGATTTTCCCAAGAGTTTTCCCAGTAAATGTGAAAAATCGGGAAAAAACATGGGAAAATCGGTTCAATATTAAACAAATATTATTAAAAAAAATATATAGAGCCAAATTAATTATTTTACCATAATATTTTATATATATATATACATATATATTGTTAACAAAGCATCACTATCAACTGAACTGCGCTCAGAATCGTTTTTTTGTTAGCAGTGGTTTATCGTTACTTACAGATATACATTAAATTACTTATAACAATGGCTGCATCCGTCTCGATTATCCTAGGACATCTTTTTTTCTGTTTTTCAAATTTAATGAGAAAACTCCTGAGAAAATAGAAAAACTTCCTCTCTAAAGTAGCTCCCTAATGAAATTTCCTTTTAGAAACACTGCTGTCATTAAAAGTTGAAGAAAAATATTGCTAATTGAAAAGTTGTGCACAGGAAAAAATTCGTAATTTTTCAGTAATATATTTCGTGCATTTTTCCGTATTTATTTCGGTTTTTAAAATTTGATGAAAAAAAATACTTCCACACACCGATTTTTTTATAGGAAAGGTTCACTTCAAAATCTGTGCAAGTCATACTAAAAAAAAATAATAATAAACATCTTTGTAAAACATAAGCTTCTTCGCTCTACTTAGAATCTGAAAATGAAACTATTCTATTATCGAATAACATAAACGAATAGGTAACCAACATGTTTAATAAATTATAGCTGTTTAGCAAGGGCAATTTTTTTCGTCGTTTGTAACATTTTTTTTAGTTTAGATTATTATTATTGTATTACTTTCTGTAATCAAAACGTGAAAGATTGTATTTTTTTGACTCGGCAATCACGTAAGTAGGTATTAAATATTGAGCACATGACGTACGCAGATTTTTTTTTGTCTATGACGGGTGGACGGAATTTTATGTAATACCTAATATTATTTCGTGTTATAATCGATACCTACGTAAACTGTCGGCTTTGTTAAAAAAAAAAAAAAAAAAATCACATATTTTTCAATGTTCAGCTATATTAGTTATAATATTAGTAGGTATAATATTTTCTTGTTTAACGT